GATGGTTGACTTTTTACAACTTTCTCCCATCTCCCGACTGCATCTCTGGAGCTCAGCCACAGTCATCTTTGGGTTCTTCTGTACCTCTCTCACCAAGGCTCTTCTCCCCCGATAGCTCAGTTTGGCTGGACGGCCAGCTCTAGTAAGGGTTCTGGTCGTCCCAAACGTCTTCCATTTAAGGATTATGGAGGCCCCTGTGCTCTTAGGAACCTTAAGTGCAGCAGAATTTTTTTTTGTAACCTTGGCCAGATCTGTGCTTTGCCACAATTCTGTCTCTGAGCTCTTCGGGCAGTTCCTTTGACCTCATGATTCTCATTTGCTCTGACATGCACTGTGAGCTGTAGGGTCTTATATAGACAGGTGTGTGGCTTTCCTAATCACGTCCAATCAGTATAATCAAACACAGCTGGACTCAAATGAAGGTGTAGAACCATCTCAGGGATGATCAGAAGAAATGGACAGCACCTAAGTTAAATATATGAGTGTCACAGCAAAGGGTCTGAATACATATGACCATGTGATATTTCAGTTTTTCTTTTTTAATAAACCTGCAAAAATGTCAAATTCTGCGTTTTTCTGTCAATATGGGGTGCTGTGTGTACATTAATGAGGAAAAAATGAACTTAAATGATTTTAGCACATGGCTGCAATATAACAAAGAGTGAAAAATTTAAGGGGGTCTGAATACTTTCCGTACCCACTGTACATAACAAAGACAGAGAGAGAGACAACTGCTGCTAAAGGTAACAAAAACTGGCACTGTAATGCTCATTTCCTGCAGGTGGTACAAGTGTTAAAAGGGTAGCTGCTATTATTTTCTTGAGTGCAGGAGGTGGCATATACACTGCTACATCTGTAGGTCTATACTCCTGCTGCTACCTTTCAAGAGGTGGTGCAGTTCACCATACCTGTACCAGATGGATGAGTGTAGTAAGTATGGCACATCGAAGCATGTTGTGTTCCTCAGATTGTTTCCAGAGCAGTGGCAGGTACTGAACCAGACAGGCTACATATGGCCGGATCTGAAGAATAAAAGTAAAGGGGAAAATAGGAAGCAAAGCACAAAGTGCAATTCAACCTGCACAACAGCTAGAGTAATATGTTTAATTTGCATGCAACTTGTGCTAGAATCTACTCTTGATGATGTAGAATATAAAGGCTACTGATCTAAGATTTCTTTCTCTTTCAGCTAGTAGCTTGCTCAACAGATACCTAGGTGCACCACTCAAGAAAATACTTATTTGGCCTTGAATGTGCATTAACACTGTGTATAGAGAATAAAAAAAATGCAAATGGTGCAACACCTTCTCTGCAGACTTTATATTGTTGTCTTTCACAGCAGCAAATTCAAACTGTACTCCCATTTTCCTCTTTGCCTGTATCAACCCAGATACTCTGCTTCAGAACATCAGTGGAATAACTGTGGGAATACAATGCTGGACAATACTAGTGGTTGAAACACATAAAAATTTGTTTTTCTTAGGGGGACAGTAAAAACTCCACCGAGAATCTTTTACTGTGTTAACTCTACAGCCTATCAAACCACTCATGTTGTTAGTGTTTGCAGAATAATGGCAGCAACAGCAGTGACAATCAGAGCAGAAGTCACCTGTAAAGTATTAAGATGATTTTTCCAATTTTTCAGTATGCATTTTGTAGCCAGTTTTACATATAAGCCTTTACATTATTTCTGCTGCGCCCACTGGGTCATATATTGTCAATGGCTTGTTGAAGGGGCAACAAAGGTTTAGGTTTTTTTTGTTGTTGTTTTGTTTTTCTCTGAGGAGTTCTGATATTTTTTGTAACATCTGAACAAACCATAAAAGATATAAAACCTGACACCAACAGTCGGCAGTCCACAGTTTAAAAATATGGGGCTGTTTTTATTACTGTTATATACTGCATTACTTAAATGTCTATTTTCATTTTAAATCAAGTTCTTTTGTTTTAAACACTAGAAATATCTGTGGTGAGACACCACATGGATGCCATCACTCTCATTACAGTGTGAAATTGGAAAAAGTGATGGCACATTGTGTAATTCAGTGGCAGTTGCTGCGAAACCAGCCAAACTGTGCTAACCCTTCCTATTCCCTGTAGCAGCTATGTGATAAAGCTGCAAACCCCACACTGGGAATTTTTTTTTTTTTTTGCTCGATTATACCTATAAGGACCTGGCTATGTAGGAGCAGAGAAAACAATAAAAAGAAAAACGCCACACCACACAGCTGTGAGGAGAAACATACAAAGTGAGGAAAAACAGAACCACAAATCAGCTGAGGATGATGTACAGTATGTGAGCCTGACAGCAAAAAAAGGAGCTAAATCTCATCATATTTGTCATTTTGTTTACTTCAACTCAATATGTACTCATGGTTTCACTGCCTCATTTTCTCAGCTGCTGCCACTCTTTGTGGTTTCAAAATCCCTTGTGAGATGGGTTAGAATACTAATGGGACTTCTACTGACTAGACATTTAGCCAGGAAGCGGGGAAGACCTGGACACACTGTCAGCTCACAAGGATGAAAGCCATTTCTGTAACAGATTTAAGTCAAAGCTTTGTTCAAAGGAAGGTGCTTAAAACAGATCTGAAAAGAGCCTTTGGGGGTGAAGGTCAAGAGGAAGGACATTTTTTAAGGGCTGAAATTAAGTAGATTAGAACAACTAATTAGTTTCTCAGAAAATTAAAAGTAAAATTATATGGCTGAAAACATACAACAGTGGTAGGGGGAAGACTATCATTATGGTAAATGAGAGCAGACATCAAAATAAATGCTCCCTGAGGCATTTGTGAAGTGACATCTTAAGAATGCCATAGCTTCAGGATGTGGAAATTCATTCACATCTAGCCACCTCTGAGCACAAATGTTTGCATTATTTTAGTGGTCTGGGGATAGTATATGCTGGCCAATGTTTTGTACTGCTGTTAAAATCTTTAAGGATTTCAAGTCTCCTGCAGAGTCTGAGTCAGTGACTCCAATTTGTGCAGTGCTATTCCTTACAAAGCAGCAACAGAATCTTGGCTTCCACTTTACATATTGTAACTAATAATGGTAAAGAAAATCAATATGGAACCTATGCTACTTTTTTGGTATCTCACCTGGATGTTTACTCTCTCAATGACACAGGAGATGACATGGAGCACCTGCATTTTAGTGTCACACTCCGTCACCTGCTGTAACAACTGGAAGAGCAGCCCAAAGATAGACTCCAGATACTAAACAGTAAAAGAAGAGATCAAATGTTAGAAAAAAAACTGCTTTAAAGCTCAATTTAATAATTGATTACTGTGAAATTCTAATTTCACCTTCAAACCCTAATACAACAGAAGAGGCACATGTACTCACTGGGAGGAACTGTTCTGTCCGAAACTCGAAGTCATCAACAGGTGGTCACAAGTTAAGGATGAAAACAAACTGTTTAGCATAAAAATGAAAGTGTTTCACCAGCTCACATTAAGCATTCTTCATTTATTTTGGCTTAACTAACTGCAAAAAGTATATAGTATTAGGTATGGCAAGGATATTGAGCTTCAGGGTTGTAGCTGTCTCAATTCGCACCTTTGACAAAAAAAAAAAAGAAATAGTTTATTATGAAAAGCATTTTAGAAATCAGATATGACACCTTCTATCACTGAACTTTGGATTATTAACAAAAACTGCAGAGACAGAAGATGCACTGAGTTGGCAGTAAAAAAAAAAAAAGTGATCAAAAGAAATTCAAAATGAGATCAACTTGAACAAAAGAAGACTGCCACAGCTGCACATGCAGCTTTACAACCAAACCCATAAGCCATAATTACATTTTACTTAAATGGCAGCCTCAGAAACATCACAACAACCAGCTCTCACTATAACAAAAGCTTCTGATAACTGAACACTGTGCGAGTGTGTGCCCGCAGCAAGTTAACTAAATACAGGCTGTCTTTTGTTATAAAAGGAAGTAGCCCCTCCACTCTTATAGACTCTAGCAGTGTAATTTGGGAGTGTTCGAGTGATGGAGGTGGAAATGGTCACCCGGGAGAAAGTGATCAGATGGAGGAGAACAGATTAAAGAAGATAAACCAGTGAAGAGTAAGATGAAGGACTGAGAACTCAATTACAGTCGGCCCTTGTTCTGAACCATTTCACAATAGCTTTTAAGTAGAAAAGGAACGTGTCTCTGTGAGTGGATAAGTGAAGGTGTGTGCGTGCGTGCGTGCGTGCGTGCGTGTCTGCCTGTGAGCAGGGCTGCAGACAAACGTTATCAACACGATCCAGTCTATGAAAGGTTTAATGTCACTGTTAAAAGACAACTTCAAATGTATTTGACCTTTTTTACATTTACAAACAGCTACAATACTTGAGTCTTTAGGTCGTCTGGTCCATACTGTTTCCTGTTTTGATAAGCTTGCCACAAGACAAATGGCACAAGTTTAGGAGGTATAAATATAAATTCATTTGGATACCTCACTGCAGGGACAAGGTTTTATTGTCCTGAGTACGCCAATCGTAAGTTACAACAGGTTTGAGCAAAAAAGTGATAAATGGAGGATGATAAAAAACGCTTTTTGTGTATAGTTACTCCAAACTAGTTAGTTGTGTAGCATAAATCATCCTTGTTTTGTTTATGTGCCTATGTTCATGTAAGCCCTTATGTTATTTTGGGTGACAGGATATATCTGCAGGAAGGATGTGTTAAGTTTGTTAAGAGAGAAGTGGCAGCTACTATTATGAATGAAGAACGAGCGACTGGTGTGATCACATGTAAACATCATCAGTGGCCGCGTACTGATGAAGTTCTCTGGCCAATCACAAGGCTGCGGTGCTTACACGTCACTGTTTGAAATCACCTCAGCTCACCTGGAACCTCGATGGAAGAGACAACAAAAACAGTACCAGTAACTATCCCCAACCTTTGAGTGATGGAAAAACAAATGGGGCGAGTAGAGTCGAGTTGGTGCCAGGCAGTGAGAAAGTGGTTCGTGCCTAATACAAGTAATAACTACTGCCATAGCCATCATTTAACATGGTTTTATCAAAGGGCATGCATGTCATCAATATTTACACACTTGAAACAATACCACTGATCTTGAGCCCAAATATTAAAATACAAAAAAATTTTTTTCATGTAATACAGAAATAAATTGTGTAAGTAAATAAATATCTGACACCATTACATGACTGAAATTATTTATATAATCCATAGGAAACTAAATTTGTGTAGACTGGTTTTATATACCTCTTATATTGATTGATTGGACAATGTGATTTCACCCTTGTGTTAGAAGAGAGAATTGCCAGTTGATTCAGAAAGCCTAACGCATGCCACTGTAAAAGACCAAATACTTTTAAAACTGGCAAAATGGCTTAGCTGTCCTCCACACACAACAATTTCAAACACTCCCATACTCAATACAAAAAGATACAAAATCCATTGTAAAATATACATTCAAGATATAAAATTTCTTTAAATTGAATCTGAAACATTTGATAGTTGAATTTAGCAATATGCAACTCTTCCCTGTCTCCAAGGTCTTAAAATACAGAATAATGTTTTAGTAATGCTGAATACATTAACAAGCAACAAAATGAGTACGTTGATGAACGAGGCCCATCAGTTGCCATCAGCACTGGCCTTGTTGGCAATTTAAACACTAATGAGAGAAACCGCATTTCAATTCTACAGCAAAGTGCAGAAGATAATAGATTGCTTGATGAAATACTCAAATGGGCCACGCACACAATGCCCAACAATGATTCGGTCAAAACATTTGCTTCACATTATTATTCAGTCTCAAGCTGTCTTTAAGGGATACTAAAGAACAGTGGGTTGAAACTTAATTTAAAAGTGATTAAAATTTTAATCTGTGAAAATTACATTGAACCAACTCACTGAATCTCAATAAGTCAAAAAGCTTCCCCTTGGCAACTACTCAGTAAAAAGCAAAACCAGAACCCTAAATGTTGATAGAACAGCACAATGCAAATGGATGTGCAAAGCTATGTCCAGCCAGACAGCATGCAAATCAAGATAAATGCACACACTCTTCCCTCAAGATAAAAATTCATATGTTGCTTCTCTGGTAAAAACAAATTTAATTTATTACCTGGACATTAATAAGAAACAGATGGCATCAGCTAAAAACAGCCAAGAATGGCTCAAAGTTTCGTTGTGGCCTGATAGATGACAACAAAGGCAAGAGAGAACACTAAACAAGTATTATCTGGAAATTATAATTAAAGCACATAACTAATGCTGTGTACAAACTGTAGCTAAAGCCAGAACAATGTATTTTCAGTACACTAGCCAAAAAGATGACTGAGTGGGATTATACTCATCGGACATACATGCATATTTAAAATACCTTCAAGCCTTGCCGTGGTCGAGTAAAGGGGAGCAGAATTGGGACATGTTGTTGACTTAAACATCACAGTTTAATGTGGTCAACAGCTGGCTCACCAGAAAATTCTAAAAAACATTAATACCCCACCACTGGGAATAGAAACAACCTGAAAACAGGAGATAAACTTTACACCAAGATTATTTTTAGCTTTTACTCAGAATGTGTGCAAACATCAGAGAAGTAAGCAGCTGTTGCAGAGGAGAACGTACCGGAGGAAATGACGAAGAATAAGCTGGCACAATGGAAAGCAGGTAACAGGCATCTGTGATTCAGCTCATGTATGTAATTGAAGTGTGTGCAAACGTCTCATACAGAAAGATCCCAGAGTTCCAAGAACATAAAAATTTGTGTTTAAACTAGATATCTACATTTCTTAAAGGCACAACAAACACATTAACATCTTTGATAAATAAGCATATAAATTCAGTTGTAAACTGTTAATTACTATAAAACAAAAATGTTTAAACTGCTTTTATTACCCAACTCCTTTATTGTATCTGCAACTTATTCTGTAGGTCTAGGGGGGAAAAAAAAGATATCCTTACTAGACTTCGATTAGCACAGAATGCTGCAAACTCTTCAAAGAGTATAATACACTCGCTCTACCCACTGAAGAGTCCCTTTGAAAATGCTATAAATTACATTTAAGGCACAGGCTTGTCTATCAGTTACATTAGCAAGCTCTTAAGTCCCTACAAGCCTATTTGATGCTTAAGATAGTCAGGCAAGACACCTAAATCTAATTTAAGGACACAAAGTGACTGTGTCTCCTTTGTTAAGGTGGCAAGTCAAGAAATTATCTTCGTGGAGACATCTGGTTAGTATCATCCCTCATGTTTAAGTACCATTCATGTAACTGGCTAATGTTTACAAAATATGAAACACAATGTACAGCAGACATGTGTGTGGGGGGGGGGGGGGGGACCACAAA